CTCAAACTTTGCGTCGCATGAGCTTGCTTTGCCATGGCGCACGATATCCAACTTTTGTGACTGTTCGGTGCTCTACCTCTCTCTGTAACTTCAGGTTCACGTCCCCATGACGTTACTCCTGGAGGAGGATATTCCACATTGAGACCAATATTCCTGCTCACCTGGATTGAGTGTGTCGGCGACTCGGTTCGCTGGAGCAGCTCCCATCATGCTCTGGTAGCTTTAGCTGGTGAGAGCTATGTGAGATCGACAGTTTTAAGTCCGTATTGGTTTGATTGATGGTCATTCAGATCAGCCACAGCTTGCGGTGCCAGTGGACAGATGGTAATCTAATGTGATCCGCCTCACGATCGTACGCCTGATTGAAATTCGGCCAGTAGTGTCGACACCTAGGCTTCAGTTTACGACGCCACGGAGTTTCTAATCGAATTTAATCTGTTTCCAAATCGTGCCTCGTCGTCGTCGTCGTCGTCCAGATAACACTGCTGATCTTCAGAATGACTGTGATGGGAAAGAATAAGCTGGCTGCTTATAATTGGAGATGGATTGTTTCTCTCGGTAACTGAAGACGAAAAAGTTCCAAATCTTCTGCTTCCGAGCCCTGCCGCCGTTACAGACCAAATGTTTTTCCCAATTGTGTTCAGACTGGTCCTCTTTTTGAATGGCGTCGTGTTCAACACCGCTTCATCTAGTAGTGTCTCACAATAAATTCCTCCCTAGACAATAGTAATCGCGGTTAATAAGTAAACATAGGAAGAATACAACCTTTTTCTTTTTCTTTTTCTGTTGAAAGGAACCTGTGACAAACTGTCCAATTAGATGCGGAAAGAATCACGAGAATCTGAAGTACGGAACCGCATCGACGCATGTCAACATGTTCAATTCCTCTTTTTCCACAGAAGTAACATATTACCCAGAGGCCTCGCAACCTCTTGATGTGAGTCTATCAGTCGAAGATTCAAGTTTTCTCAGATTCTTGTTGTAAAATGAAAGCGGGGTGTTGCTGGTGGCCAAGGAACAAATGCTGTATGTCTGAAAGAAAACAGTGATACTAATAGTAATCATATTCATGAGAACCACTGAATGATCTTAGTTCGGGACCGCACCAAACTGAAAATCAACGGATTTATGTCTCGAGCATCACAATCCGGGAGTTAGAAGGAGCCTGGAGGCTAGAATTGCGTGACTGGAATTATGAACTCGGAGCCTGCCGTATACCTACAAATATTCGCTTCACCGGTAAAGGATCGACCCCTATGGATTATTCAAATGGCAACGTTTCATCTACAGCACTGCGAGAACAGCACAGTCCATGAATTCCAAACTACAGTGGGCTGCCGGCCTGCCACGAGCAGAGAGGGGAAAAGGACCTCATTAATCCCAATAGAGGAATGCTATAATATCGGTGGCAGATAGGAAAGATATAGATGAGGATTTTCAGTGGAGGTTTCCACCCTTTGTGCCTGCAAAGCCACCAAAGATATTGACCACATGTTCACCCATTCGATGAAAGCGGCCACAGTAAGGGAGACAGTGCAAGCTGGGCGTAAGTCCTTTTTCCTGCTTTATTTTTTATTCTCTTAAAGTCTTCCCTCTCCCCCTCCCCCCACATGTTGGATTTCCAAACTTTAAAATTTGGTTTAGGGGATGTCTATAAATGAACCCGCATGCACCCAAAATATTTGAAGCAATCTTTTCTCTGTCGACCTTTGTCTTGCATCATTCATGGTCGATATAGACGAGCTGGTTCTTCTAGATTGTCGTTTTTCACGCTGAATCATTCTTTGGAAACAATTATTTGTTTTCTTGTCAATACTATATTTATGTGCATGTAGATATTTGCTTCAAGTGTTGCTTTTGATAATAATGGTATTAGTTTCCTCGTACTTGTGTCCCTTCCATCATTGTGCAAACCCTAATCTGACCATAGACTGCATGTGGTTGCGTTGTGTTTGTAGAATGAAGGTAAGATTATGGTGTTCCACACTCCAGGTGGTGGTGGCGGTGGTGCTACCCCTCAATAATGAAAGTGAGGCTCGGTTGGAACAGTGGAAGTAGTCACACTTTCAATGGACACATGGAAGAAAAAGGGGGTCCTTCAATTATCAACACCATGAAGCAATTGAAGAGAAGAGCTTCATTGTTTATTTAATGTTTCAATTGGAGACCTAACGCTCTATAGAAAGAGAAAAAGCAATGGAGAAGGTTTTTTAACCTTGTAAATTAAATTAACATCAGTGTTTGTGTTTTTTGTATTAAAAAGTGCTTAAACCACACAACACAAGAACGTTCTATTATGGAATTACAATATTTTCCGCCTTGAGGATTGGTTGATTCATTTTGATGCTACTTTTTTAATGTAAAACCCAAAATATTCGTATACATATATATATATATATATATATATATATATTGACATACATAAAGATAAACAGATAGCTGCTAGATTGAGATTGAGCGTCAAAAGAGAATCTCACTACGCCCAGGGCTTCTCGCTCCACTTTTGAGGCTTTGTACCAGGCAGCACTCAGAGGTTCCCCATACTGGATTCTGTCCTCAGCTCAATTCAATTCATGGCCCTACTGCAGGGGGGATGCACAGACACTATATACATGGAGCTGGAGCTGGAGCTGCATTGTTCTCACTGGTGCAGCTGTTGCTGCCTTGGCCCCTTCTATCTCCCACGTTGCCTGTCCTGCCTGTCCCAGTTCTGGACACACTTCATCATTCAGTAATCTTGAGTTCAATGCAGATTCTTTTTCCATTCAATTAATCAAACAATAGACTCTTGTTGCCTATTAAGAGGTGATTCGTATTTATTGTATAAACAAGAAAACAAACGAACCGACTGTGTTTACAATTCTAATGTCTTTTTTTATTTTTTATTTTATTTAAAAAAAAACACTTAAGTATTGATTTTTTGTTGTCGATATTACTATTCAAAAAATCTGAGATGAGGAGGTTAGCAATGATCAAGTGAATCTAAATCTACTTGCTCATCATTTAGTTCGAACTTGCTGCATCTGAACCCTATAATAATATCAATGATAATAAGTTAAGAAAATACTATTCACAAGGACATTTAATGATGTGATAAAACAACGTTTAATCTTAAACGACACCGAATAATAAATAACTGAAACTCGTGTTTTTTTTATGTTTTTGTTTTCTGTTTCTTATTATCATTTTTATTATCTACTTTTTTAATCAACGAAACCCAAACACATTCAGAAGATGCACCTTACATTCAGAACAGATCACATTCAATCATTTGTACATTATTTACAGTGGTACAGGCCACTTTTTTAATGGTTCATTGAACAACTTTATTGCTACTAGCTAACTCCCATTGTTCACTGCATGCTTTTATTTAGTAAAGAGTTAAATTGTTGCTTGGATTATTTCTCTTTATGGTATTTTATTTTCAATTCTAGTAAACTTTATCTCTCTGAGCATGTAAGAAAAAAAAATTATGCTCCCATGATTTCTCTCCACTACAGGCTGCACCTGGTCATTAAAAATGGTCCACTTTGCTTGTTTTAAGAATGGGTCTTTGTGAACACTTGAACCCCTGAACCTTCTTGGTCAATACTTGGAGTACATTTTCTATGATAAGATTTTAATGGGGTGATGGGCTTGATTCTCTATTCTGGGAACAAGACAACCCCAAAGAAAACTTGAAGCTGAAAACTATGCACAAAGTTTGGCACAATGAGCATATTCTTTGTGACCCCCCAGCCCCAATGTGATACCCTATCATTCAATTACACGTCAGAGTCTGGATGACGTGTTTCAAGGGAGGGAGATAATTAGATCGAAAAAACTAAGAAAAATAAAATAATTTCGTCTGTATTCCATTGCATAAGATATAAAATCCTTCTACCTAAACTTAATAAACAAATCACTGCATGGTGTGATGTCTGAAAGATAGGCATGTGTTTGAAAAATTCATGTAATCATGGAGGTTCATCCTGAGTTTGTGTGTAATAAATAAATAACAAAATATGAGGTTGGAAGGGCACAAGGAACTGGGACTGTAAATTTACTTAACGTGGCTATTAGACAGAAAAAGGCGATGGAAGTAAAAGAGGTTCACCCAAACCGTTTAATGTTTTTCATATTCTTATAAAATGATCTCTTCAACAGAAAAAAAAGAAAAAAAGAAAAAAAGAAAAAAAACTCGTTTGGAAGAATCAAGCAACTTGGAAGCTTAACTTGGTCAGCGTGAGATCTGCGAGCTTGAGCTTGACACAAGTTCTATGTACTGATAAGACGCCATTCGCATCGAAGAGCTGTCAGGAATCTAAACATGAGGAGACATTGTGATCATCGGTCGTCCTCGCCAACTAGCTTCTCCTGTTTGCTTCCAGATGAAAACACATGAAACCCTTCGAATACACAACACTCCTTTTGTGTTGAATTCCAGCGATTCCGCAGGTAATGCCAAACAGAATTACGAATCCATATACAACACATGTACAGACAAAAATGTTACAGAATGGAGATGAGGTGGAAAAGGGAAGCAGGGTAATCGATAGGAAGCCAAGGAGATAAACAGAAAACAACAAATAGATCCATGCACACACACTCAAAAAAAAAAAAAAAAAAAAAAAAAAAAAAACTGCAGGAAGCGGAGAATGGGGGGATGGGGCATGAAAGGAATAGTCACGAAGAGGAGGGGAGGAAGAGCGGGCACCGGAGTCCGGCGATGGATGGGACGAGTGGCGGAGCGGGCCTGCATAGATCTAACAAGATTATTATATGACAAGGGAAACAATCCCTCCCGCTCCTTACCACCTGTAATAGATCCTGGCCATCTTTAGTGACTAGGCCGAAAGTCCAGCCCGCCTGTTGGCGGAAAAGAGCGGACAAAGCCCCGAGAGAGGGACCTTTGGAAGCAACACAGATAGATCCATTCATCCCAGGACCAGGCTTTACCCGAAAATACCATCCCTGCGATGTGGAATAGAGCGAACAAAGTAAACACTGGTGCAGGAGAATCGACCAGTAAGTAGACAAATTCGAGCGGGGCTCGCGGGGCGGTCTCGAAGGGTTTAGATATTGAGAAGAGGGCGGCTGGGGGTTGTGGACGCAAAGTGTTTGCTGGTGCACTGAAGGGTGGCCAGTGTTAGATTTTCACCGGATCGGAGCTTCGGGGTCACCACAGCGTCAACCCATCAAGGAGGAGCGCGAGCCGGCGAGTGTGGTGAACTCTGACGTTGTCGGAAACTCTTTTTGACGTGTCGAGAGCCCAACGATTCGCCCAAGCCCAGAAAAAGCGGAAGCATGTAAATCTCGGTTGACGATTGGATGCTAGGTAGGAGAGGAATCTGTTTCGAGCCGGCGTTCCAGTTCTGTTCTCACATTTTTGTCGTTCAAGTGATGGGGATGTGAGCTAACACTTTCGTGTGGTTGTCTAGGATACTGGTGTGCGGCAGAGGTGGTCTGATTTTTGCTCTTTCTCGCTCTAGTGCGTGCAGGTTAACAGCAAAGGTTAGTAGCTCTTCGAGATCGATCGGTGGGTGTCAGAGGGTTTGGGTCGGAGAGGTAGGAACCAGTGAATGGTGAGTGTCGGGGGTCTGTGCTGGAGGTTGCAAGCACTACATCGCGGTGTAGTTCACCAGTTGTTGGCTTGTTGACCTCCGCCAGTGCTTCAGTTCATTCTGATGCTGCGGGAGTGAAAGCACTAGAGTAGTAATTGACCTCGTTACCTTCGCTGCCGTCTTCACTACGAGGGCTGCATACCTGTGTGCACCTCTCAATCACGAGGTCGTTGCTTAGAAAACCCGCAAAATTTTATTGACAAGTCTTCGGTAGCCTTTCCCTTGTCTTGTGTCCGTAAGCACCAGCCAGCTTTAGCCCTGCACTCGTTGTGATGACCTCCAGATCTTTCTCATTACAGAAAGACTCGTCTCCGCGCCGTCCATTGTGACCCACTAGAGTGCCGTGATCCGTAACTCGGGATGTTTTCGGGGAAATTTTAAAAGGAACAGAAGAGATTTGAGTAACTCTTTCTGCTACTTCCACCGTGGCTTCCAATTCCAGCAAATTGGAATTTCAGGGAGATGAGAAATCAAGTCTGTTGTTATTCCGGGATTCAAGTTACTAGTGTGTAGCATTTGAAGGCTTTTAGGCTACACCATCCGCTTCGTACAGTCAATTGTAGCTGAAATGGAAGTTGCAGCTGTGATCGTGCGGGGACACTGCGACAGTTTCAATGCATGGTCCCTGCTTCGAATGATCCCCCTCCGTTGTGCTCTCGTTTCTCTACAGGATTAAGTCACAGCTGCAGTATTTGATGTGGCTTTAGGTGCGTATGATGACTAGAATCATGATCCAAGCTCCCTCTCAAAGGAGCTTTGGACATTCGTCGGCATAGAGCGGTTTCGTTGAGGTGCGGAGTGTGGTAACATGTTCCGCATTCACTGCTGGTGTTTCTAATCGAGCCTTTAGCTTGATGTTCCACTCACTTTTGAGTGGCGTACGATGGAGCAGCTGTTCTCCTGTGCTTCCAATCCTACAGAGCGCGTAGGTCTTCCGGAAAGTTCGTATACGTTAGTTCGACTCGTGATGCCTTAGTCAATGGTCCTTGTTGGTAGGATGAATTTTTCTGGTTATCGTCTCTCTCTTCGGTGATGTTTCAGCCGCAACTGACAGTCTCGACGCATGTTTTGCAGTTTCCCGGCAAGGTTAATAAAGACCGCAGATCCTTGTGTCCACTGATAAAGCGATTGGCGGGCATTTTGGTGAGTCTAAGAGCTCCTGGAGTGTCTTCATGATTTATGGGCTATCAGTCGATTTGAACAACTCCAGTATACGACATGACCACGCCTATGAATTTAAACTGTGAAGCATCGTAATGAGTATGCATCAGAAGATTGGACTTACAGGTGAACCTCCCTACAAAACAGGGTGTCAAATTGTTGGCTTTGGGCAATGCGCCGCATTTCGTCCACCAAAGCAGTCATCTTTGGGAGCGATCACATAGTTATCCAGACCACTTCGTTGCCATTAAAGTTTCGACTGTGTTCTGAGAATGGGAAATATTATTTGTATTGACAGCTTACAGCTTTTTCTATTATGAGCATCGTATACCCCCTGCCGCACTCCAAAAGTAGATCACATTCACATTTGTAGTGCACAAGAACCCACTAGGCCACCCCTACAATTCAACTCAAAGTGGTCTGTAGTTTACTACTTTTATTTCTCTTTTTGTTTGTTGTTTAGTATCTCTTACCGATCCATTCCAAAATGGACTATCTGACTATTAGTTTAACATCTTTATCCATCTTCTCTTAGTTCCTTTATTTCGAGAGTTTTTGTGCGGTGAAGTGATGTTTAGCGAGGATCCAACAATTTCTGTGGCATCTCTGCAGCTTTTCAAGGCTCAAAGCGGTGCAGCGTCGTGTGCGGAGAACAGAAACTGTGTCAGACCAACAGGCTATGTTGTGTCCCAACTCTTCTGTAGAAGAAATTCCTCGCTGAGCCAGTATCTTTGGATGACGAGTAACTTTCGCAACGCCGAGTTCCGGAACATTCTGAACCCAACGGCGTCAACTATCCACCCTGGGAACTACAGTAGGCCAGGCGAGCCTCAATTCGTGCGAGAGGATCATTTCATAAGTCCTCTGCACAGGGATTCAAAGCCCGTCACAATTAGAGAAAACCACGATTTTTCAAGCCGGATACAGTCCCTTATGAGTGGGGAAGTTGCCTTAGGCAACTTGCAGGATGCACATGGCGGAGGGGTCCCATCGACACTCATGGGATCACCCCGTCTTGTTCCAAACGGCGTCATCCCGCAGGGCATGCAGGTAGACGCCCAGCACGACCAGAATTCACGAGCTCCGAGCCGATACGAGGCGCAGAAGCGGCGAGACTGGAACACCTTCGGACAGTACCTTCGCAACCATCGTCCACCCTTGGCGCTGGCACGGTGCACAGGGGTCCATGTGTTAGAGTTCGTGCACTACCTCGACCAATTTGGCAAGACGAAGGTTCATGTCCCGTCCTGTCCTTTCTTTGGGTTGCCGCACCCCCCGCACCCCTGTCCATGCCCGCTGCGGCAAGCTTGGGGCTCCCTCGATGCACTCATCGGTAGACTACGTGCAGCGTTCGAGGAAAATGGGGGCAAACCTGAGAGTAACCCGTTCGGAGCACGCCAAGTGCGTCTGTATTTGCGCGAGGTACGCGAGATGCAGGCCAAAGCGAGAGGGATCGCCTACGAGAAGAAGAAGCGGAAGCGAATGCCGAATGCGGGCTCTGGAGGCTCTCAGGGCGGGGTGAACGGTATGAATGGGGTGAATGGTATGAACCTGAGCAACGGCGTCGGCGGTATGACTAACGGCAATGTTCATGCCATGCCGGCGCAGCAATGAGCGAACTGTTTGAACAGACGTCACAGTCCCGTCACAGTTTTGGTCGAAACAGATTATATACAACGACACCACTGAAGTTCTGGTGTCTCCCTCTACAAAAGGTGATTCTATTTTCGTCACGACGACGACGACGATGGTTTTCGGAGCTACTGCAGTAACACGGCGAAAGCAGATTCTTCTTTGTATATAGATCCTTTTAGATCTTCACTCTCCTCTTCAGAGAATCTGTAGATATTCTCTTCATGTCCTCCGATCCACATATAAGGTCCACCATTCCTAGTTACATGTTTACAGGAAGATTAACAACCGCCGTCAGGTCCGTCGATCTGTACAGGTTCCACAAGGTATAGATGTAGACATCTTCTTTACTCTCTCCATCCCCCCTGGTTCTTCTTCCGGTTCCCTAGACTCACCCTATTCGCCTTCATCAGTTTTGCAAAGAAATTGGGGCAATCTGTTTCTAGCTTTTTTCGCTGCGGCCGACTCCGAGGCTTTTCTCTTGTGGAATTGGAATAAATACTGAAGGTACCTCGGGGACGGTGGCTCCAGGAACATAATGTAGTGTATCTAGATAGTACTCCTGGTGTATGGGAATAGTCAGACGAGTTGCCTCAATTTCGTAGGAGCCTCTTCGTCCAGAGGAGCTTTAAGGAGCTCGCTTGTAAAATTTCCGCTATCTAAGACCATTTCTTCGTCTCCTTCAACATTCTTTCTTTTTCATGATCTATCTATCCTTTGTGAACCTTCGCATGCTGATTCCTAAGTATATATCCTGGTTTTAGTGTTCTAAGATTCATAATTTTTTACTTTCTTGTCATGCTTGTGTGCACGTCTGGCAATGTTCTTGTCTCTCTCCTTTGATAGCACATACTGTCCTCGCACGTGATTCAACTTTTAATGCCCTAACTTGTCGATGCGGGAGGCAGTGGATCCAAGATAGTACAGCCAAGACACGCCGCAAGGGTTTCAATGCGTAGTACGTGGAAGAGAAGGTGTAAGATCTTATCAGTTTCCATGTCCTCGCAAATTTGCATCAGCTCAACAATAGGTACTGGGCGGTTGACTTCTTCTACATATCCTCTTCCAGACATTCGATCCGACCACTTCGTGTCAAGTCGGCTTAGTGCAGATGCGTCGATGGTCTTGAACGTGTTATTCGTCCCCACTATTTGCAGTGATCCGGTTTAGTTTCTCACGGTCAAGATCGATCAAAACCCGTTTGAGCGGAAAGAATTGATTGGCATCAACCGCCATTGTGAAATAACCCACTTACGGTAAATCGAATGGATACACACACACTACTGTTGCCATAGCTAGCAAGGCAAGCAGAAGACAAGTCAGCTCTCCTTTTTCCACAGCACTCGTTTGGATCCGCCGGCCTACAGTGCCTGTCTGAACGCAGCCTGCCGCACACATCGCCAACTATGACACACACAACGCCGCGCAGTGCATATCTTGGACCGCCCTCGCCATATACTTCGGTTCCAGCCACCTCAGCCTCTCGCTTGTCCTGTCTCCCCAATTCGCCTCAAACTAATCTCCACTTTTTCTTTCGTTGTTTCATCCCCTTCATCCCTCTTCTGCTTTCGGTTCTATTTTTCTTTATATTGTTTCCCCCACATCCCTCCACTCACTTAAAACCACAGTCGGGTCAGCCCAAAACTAATTTAAATCTTACAGATGGAGACGTCCATGCTCCAACCTGAAGATGATATTATAATGAATGCACTGAACCCAGTTACGGCACTGCAGAGAAGAAAATCTACCCCTTGGATGCGATGTGGGGCAAAAATAAAGGATTCCGACCACTCATGTAATTGAGCTCAAATCATAATTAGTCTCCTAGTAGATCACCAACGATGGAACCAGGATTGGCTCAGCAGAGTCCCAGACAACACAACCCAGAAATATCATTAAATCACAAAGAGAAAGTAGCACAAAGAGCGCAATTGGGATCTTGATAGGCTCAAGCCAAACTCTTGTCGAATTAATCCACGGAAAAACTAAATTAGAATAAAGGGGGAGGGGAGTTTCGACCACTCCCAGCCACTCACCAAACCGTCCTGATTCTCTGGATTATCATCTCCAGCGCAGAATCCACAGCGCTCCCCCCAATGCCAACCCTCCATCATCACTCACATCATCTCGTGATTCTACCACTCACTGTTCAATCGAATCTCCACAATCTCTGCTGAGCAATTGAGGAGCCCCGCGATTGAAAATGGTAGCAATAATCCCCCGTCGCCGCAAGGTGTTCTTTTCTCATTTTCTACCCTCTCCGCGGCCCCGGATCGAGGACAGTCCACTGCCCGTCGGCTCTTTAGCCAGTAGATACTCATCATGACACCCTGGCTGCTCTATGTTTACTGATTTGCGCGTCATTGTGACCGCAGCAACCGTTCACCCCGAAGGAGAATTAGTAAATCACAAAACTCAATTAGCAAATCACCTCACGGTAAAGTAATACGGTATGTTCCCCCGTCCCCCGCTCACCCGCTTCCATTTCAACACGCGTACCAGCAAATATAGACCGACGCTATTCGAGGGCTGCTCGAGACTTGCTGGCCAATGGGCAACTTGAATAGTGGGTGACTAAGTGCCACTTCATCAGCTATAATTAGATTTTTGTTTTTTTGGAAACCTCCTCATTTATATATTCCACTTGTAGACAAATATCTGCTCAACCATTCAATGTACGAAAATTTAAATCCCTGCTTCAATTTAAGTCCAAGAAAGTGCATCACCGGCTGATATTACATACACTCTAACTCACAGACACAAAAAAATTATATTATATATTTGCGTGTGTGTGGTTATTATGGGTGTGTTTGTAAGAGTGTTCAGTCTAGAACCTCCAGATCATCAGCCATTTCCATGTCTCCTCCTCAAAGATGTCATTATTAGGGATCAGATTCATGGAAAATATATTGAAATGACAGTGGCCCACTTGTGCTGATAGATTAAAGATACGATGTGAAAGAATAGCTATCCTGCCTTCTAATGTTGCCAAAAGAAACAATATATTGTTATTTTTTGTTTATTCTATTGTCAACTATAAGCTAGGCTTCCCCGCGTGCGGTGAAAAAGCCTTCCGTCCGTCAGTCAGAGCGGATCGCGACTGAGCATGCATCTCTCTCCCAGCTTCCTCGTCACTGGGTCCCAGCATATTCGTTCTGTTGACTCTTGCAATCCCAGCGCACGAAGCGTTCCCACATTCACAAACGTTCGGCGAGAACGACGACGAAGCTCTCGTAACCCAGTTTATTTCGCCCGTAATCCCCGCCTAGGATCCCGCCACGCTTTCCGCCCCCACGCTGTTGGATGCCGCATCGTCACATACGGTAAAATCCTTGACGTCAAGAGGATGACGATGCAAAGCAAGCTGGAGCTCTTTCCACTGGAAAACGCTGGTGTTTGGTTTCCCCGAATCAGTTTTATATGATTTCTGAGAGTGGAAAATCTCGGTTGGGGCATTTTTAGTGGTTGTAGTGTCTGTAGGGCGATGCCCCGATATCGAGGGCTTTTGATAGCATCGGGCCCCAGCTTCGGATTCTTGACTTCCAAGGCTCCTTAAATTAGGCGCGTAGTAGGGAACATGGCTAGTGCCGGATCCCCCCTCCCCCCAAAAGTTTGTCGCCGCGGCTGCCGCTGCTGCTCCTCCTCCTTCTGGTGGGGATGCTTGTGATGCCTGGATTGGTTCAGCAGCTGTGGGGTGCGACCAGTGTCCACGCACACACTCACACGCATTCGTTCACTCACTGACACTCTCACACCCAACTCCTGTTGGATGCGAATAGAGCACGGATGTGGAAACGGTGAGACCTCCGCGCAGCGCGAACCTCCGCTTTCGATCGAGTCGCGTCTCGGAACCTCTTAGCTTTGAGTTTCTGTGTGTAATGTGCATATGAATGGATGAATATATGAGAATGAATGAAGTTTGTGGATGGAATGTTGATTGGTGCGTGGATGGTTGTCTGTTTGGATGTTAATTGGTGCGTGGATGAATGTAATTTTGATATATGGATGGATGGGTGCATTGCGTCGATGGATGGAGTCTTTTACTGACTGAAAAGAAGGGAAGATTAATTGAACATGATAACAAACATAAAACTCAAGGCCCTCATTTAATACTTGAGCTAACTTGTGTATATGTTTAGTTATATATATATATATATATATATATATGTGTGTGTGTGTGTGTGTGTGTGTGTGTATTATTTTGTTCTTGAAGAAAGATAATAATATAACTATCTTAAACCATTTCATCCATAGAGTTTTGCAACCTTTTGGCAGTGTTTTTGGAAATAGTTATGTGGAAGCTGTTCTATTGCAAACTTGCCAACTATATATATATATATATATATATAAATATATTTAATAGTCATTTTCCATCTTAGTTACAATTGTTAAGAAGATTTTGGATCATTTGAAATAGACGCTAAATTACTTAAATATTGATTGTTTGGAGATGAAGCAATGAAAAAAAAAGTCATATTATACATATAACTATATTTATATATATACTGGAGATTCATAACAGGTATTATTAAATTTGTGTGAATGTATGGAGTGAATTCTTTATTGCAATATCTTACAATAATACTAATGAGAAAAGACTTGGAAAATAAAATTTAATGCATTAAAACTTTAATAAATATTTATGATTATATTACATGTCAGATTTTTTAAAAAATATACTTCAGATTAAAACCATAAGATTGATATAGTTGCATTTTGTATTTCTATTTTGTTGCGTATATTTACAATTGTATGAGAATATGTAAATGTAAATGTTCGGTTTATTGTGGAGTATTAATAGAGAATGTTAGTGTGAACAGTGGTTTTTATTTATTGTTGCATTATATATTATTATCCACTGATAACTTGCTTTGACAAATCACTACCAATGCAATGGCCACGAATATTAGTGTGTATGTATACATGTACTTTGTATACATGTACACACTAATATGTTACATCTGACTGCACTAATTTGAGGAAAAAAACAATCAAAAAATAAAAATAATAATATTCTCTTTCTTTTTTATTTTGGATTCTTTTATTTATTTATTTATTTTTATGCAATTTATGTGCTGTGTTTTTTTTTCCCTGTAACTTAATTTCATATTTCTTACTTACTTGAAATTTAAATAAATAATAATAATAATAAAAAACTTGTTTGCACAACAGCAATTACAACAAAATTTCAGTAATTACACAGAGTTGATGCTCTACATATTTTTCGTTTTTAACTTTGATGCAATACTTAAACATTTCGTTTACAAAACTATGCACTGTTGATAATATCACAAGATATTGAATAATAAATAGTTCAAGTTTGAAATTCTCTTCATACTTAAGAATTCATTTACTTTAAGCATTAGTTGTCTCATTATTCACTATTCCTCAAATTAACATTTTAGTTTATACAAATATATTCAATCTTTTTTTGGCCTTGTAATTCATAAGGTACACAGCCCATACTATCTTTAGACTCTAAATTGTTATCAAATCCTTTTTGTTGTCAGTTTAATATTGTTGAATTAAACATATTAAGTGCAGTCAGATGTAAAATATTTACACATGTGTAACTGATGCCTGAAATGATATTTGTAACAATTATAATATTATATATATATATATATATATATATATACGTATTTTTAAAAGGCATTATTTCCTTTTCAGTGAATATCATTGAAGCCTCCAAATTTG